TTATAGACTTCTTTGGTAGAGATGTTTTGAAGTAAAAATGTACTTCTCAACTATCATAAAATTGTTTTTATAATAGTTTAATTTACTAGTTGAGTAGTAAACTTAACTCAGATATTTTTATGGATTAAAAGATTTAAAGTTAAATACTTTAAAAATTAGACATAAACACAATGGTATATAAAAGTAACAAATTGACATTGACATTAACTTACCTAAAACATCATCTAATTTAAAATAAATAAAAAACAGCAATAAACATATAACTAATTTTATAGCGTCTATAAAACAAACATACATAAGCATAATAGGCACATTAACTTACGTACATATCAAAACATATATACTACATACAAACACTTAAGTATAACTATGGCAATAACTAACGTATGGCAGCATCACAAATATAACAACAATAAAAATCATCACCAGTTTAAGCATAAAAGAACATAAAAAAAATTCAAATAATTATTCTACAAATACTATATGTTTAAGATTTGAAAAAAATGGAAAACTACTATTAAACCCTCTTTTATAAAATTCTTTATGTTCATATGTCACAATCTTATTATTTTTTAACTTTGAGTAACCAAGTTTTATATAAGAAGATAATATGATTTCATTCACTTTTTTGTCATCCTCCGAGATATTTTTATTCTAATATTTTTATTCTAACACTGTTCAGAAAGAAAAAATATTATCAGAAACGTTTCTTTTTCTCTCAGCTTCTTCATGTAGAATCACTGTGTAGCACCAGTAGCAAATTTACCGATTCTAATATCTCTAGATCTAAATGAATGTTCAATTCTTTTTTTCACCAATTCAACAATGACATAGAAAGTTAAAACCTTTTGTCAAACCCGTGAGGAAGTTAATAAAAAGTTTTCTTTTTGTTTGTTGATTGCATCAAATTAATTACTAGAAGTATTGATTTTTTCGAATCCATTAAATATAACTTTCGAATTTTATCGTTGGTAGATTGACTGATACAAATTCATTGATTCTGTTTGCTTTTAGTTAAATCATCTCTGTTTGATATTAATTTCCTTTTTTTTTGTTTTGTTAGAAACCGAGGATGATATTCATTGTTAAAGTACACAGTGGATCACACGATCACTCAGCTCATGCTCAGCCTAAATAACTCCCCCCCCCCCCCCCCCCCGGCACCCGTAAGAAATCTTAACATGAAAAAAAAAACAATTCAAGCCCTAATATAATTTTAGAATGAATAAAAACTTTCAATAAAGGTTATCGTTTAAATTTATATAAATGAATTTGTAATATATATTTAAAAAAATGTTATCTTTATGGAATACAGAAAATACATAAATAATGTTTTTAAAGTATAAGTAATTAAATTTTTAAAAATAATACGTACAAACTACAAAACTTTATGTTTATTTTACTCATCTCCATAAGATGATAATCCATATGATTACTGTAGATAAAGTTGTTTGTGTATATCTAGAGACATTATTATATACTAATAATACTAATAAGACATATACACAAATTTTTATAGTTACTTTATAAAAAAATAAACAGTATGTTTGAAATATTTACTACAAAAACAAAACTAGACACATATTAAAAAAAAAATTCCTGTGGAACAATAAATATCATCAAATGACAAATAAATATTCTTGCCTAAATATTTAATATGGATACGAGTAACCAAGACTATGTGAGACTATTTTTAAATGGTAACCATTCTCAAATTAGATCCATAAAAAACACTGGCGGATCAAAGTCTAATATTCATATACAAAGCAACTGCAGATTTGTATATTTACATATTATGAGAGTAATCATATATTTATATACACCTATAGTAAATTTGTGCGATACATATAAACGATAGTCGGAAACACAAACTGATATATAGATGTCTACCAACATTTAGAAAATAAATCAATATACAAGTCTACCAGCATCAAATAAATATACTTTGTCAAAAATATTTTTTAGGTAATTAAAAAAAATCTACCACAAATACTAATAAAACCTCTTAGAGGAAAAAACATTCACCGCTAATCATCACATACTTTTTTTTCAAATTGCAGTAAATCTACTTTAAGATCTTAAAAAAACAAATACAAACCTCGATTGCAAATGATTATCATAAAAAGGAGGTCACAAATGCCGATTGCAAAAAATGTGTGTTTTATTAAAATATTATTTTTGTTATCATTATACTGTATATTATTATTGTTAAATGATAATGGCAATTTTGTTAAGTATAAAATTTCAGAGTTAAAGACTTCCACCCCCCCCCCCCTCATTTTTAAGCATTGGTCTAGTTTACTTTTTCTTTTAACTTTTTAGTAAGTATGAAAGTTTCAATAAATTTTGAGAAACTATCTTTAAATAATTAGGCAAACTCCGAAAACTATCTTTAATGAATTGGTTAGCTGTTTTGTTTATTATCCTGTATTTTTCTATTATCATGTCTTTCTCTATTGTATATATGATATATCCCGTCTTTTACTGTATAATTTTTGCATTTTCCGAAGGGTTAGCAATTTTATTTTGCAAAATGATTTTCAGAAACTTCCATTCAGATCAATAACTGACCGAAACTTAGAAATCGAATATCCAAATTTTAATATTTATATTTAAAAAAAATTATAATCATTCACGAATCTGATGTTTTTTTTGTATCAACAACTATGTTATGCACTCTTACTTGCGTATAACGTGCGCGATGAGATCTGTACTGGATGCAGAGCTATCCAAATACTTGTTATTCGTAGGTAGTATTTTGTTTGCTCCTCCAGAAGTTCCCGAACTACGACAACAGTTTCAAAGCAATTAGTTTTGTATACAAAATTTACCGAAACCAAAAAAAAAGCAAGAAATTCTAGAGTAATCTAGCTCTTATATTACCTGTTGAAGAAATTTGTAATGGGTAGAGCCGATATTACATTCGATGGCTCTCCATTCGCGACACGATCAATGTAAGTTTTCACATCTTTATAAGTGACTATTGGTAAGTTTTTCTTGAAGAGCTCTTTAGCAGAGCTTCCATGAAGGAAGTTTTGGAGATACTCTGTTCCTGAGTTAAGGGTGAGTATCTCTTTCAACAAATCATCTTGTATTTGCTTCACATTGGAGGTCAGGTCCTCAAGAACCTTTCCCTTTTCTTCCTCGTTGTAATAAGAGATTATACTCATATTTGGTTGTCTCTAACTTCACATGGAATGACTTGGCTTTATAGATAAGAATACATGAATGGGAGGTTCAAGTCACATGTCATTATTCTAATATAAAAATTATGATCTACTACAGGAGGCAGCCAAGTGCTGTGTTAGACTAACGCCATTAATGCATCTGCGTCTGTTAGTTGACGTGATGGTGGTGTGCTACATTACATCACATGAATCATGTGTATAACTACTTATATTTTCTTGGGTAACTGTTTTTAGCTACAGGAAAATTGACAAAATAATCCTCAACTTTCGAAAATAAGCCAAAAAAATCTTCAACTCTCAAATAAGCCATTTTAATATTTAGCTTCTAGTCAAACACGAATATATCTCATACTTTCGTTGACCAAGCCATTTTAATCTCGTCAAAATTCAACCGTTTAGTTCTGTTAGTTATATTTAACGGTTGACTTTTAATGAGCCTAAAATGGCTTGGTCAAGGAAAGTATGTGATTTTTTATCCTAATTTAAAAATTGAAGATTAAAATTGCTTACTTAAAAATATCTTAACTTAGATTTATTTTTTTCTGACAGAAAAAATACAATTTTTCATATCGATTGTAATCATTAACTTAATAAAATATGTTTACATAAGTTTAGATATAATATTTAAAAATGAATTAAAAACAAAAAATTTCTATATATTAGCTGTCGGAAATCCCTTTCACGCACTTAACTTCCTCATTTTCACTTGTTTCATCCTCTATTGAGTATATGTGATTATACTTTTAACAACAATGTGTTTAGGGTTTTACCTTTAACTTTTATGTTTTTATTCTTATTTTTTTTTTGAACGTAAGCACTTAATTATTTTATTTTATATCTGAATTTACAGTATACTTGTATTTTTAATCAATTTTTTTTTACTAAATAATTTTTTCTTTTTATTCATTTAAAAATATTATAATTAAGCTTATTTGAACATATTTTATTAAGTTTGTCATTCTAATCGATATGATAAACTACAATTTTTGTTGAAAAAAATAAAAAATAGTAATTTTTAGTTAAAATATTTTTAAGTGAACAATTTTAATCTTCAACTTTTAAATTAACATAAAAAAAAAACTCATACTTTCGTTGACCAATAGGCTCATTAAAAGTCAACCGTTAAATATAACTAAGGGAACTAAACGGTTGAATTTTGACGAGATTAAAATGGCTTGGTCAACGAAAATATGAGATTTATTTGTGTTTGACTAGAAGTTGAAGATTAAAATGGCTTGTTTGTGAGTTGAAGATTTTTTTGGCTTATTTTCGAAAGTTGAGGGTTATTTTGTCAATTTTTCCTTTTAACTACTAATATTTTAAAATTTTAATAAAGTTAGACGGCTCTCCAAGTCACATTCATTACAGCAATAAGTTACGATAAGGGGTAGGTGAGCCTAATAATTTTCAAGGAAGGAAACAGTGTGAACCTTGTGTGACTCTGAGCATATCTAAAACCACATGGATTTTGTCTAAAACTTGTGAAGTCATCAAACAACATATTATAGCAAAATGTTCTTGTAAAACAGATTTAGATATTGTTGTAAACCTCTTAAACCAAAATAACAAATATGAAACCACAAAGATGAAAAACCATGGATAAGAAACATCACAAGATTTTTCAGACCCATCTAATCTATTAAAAGAGGAGTACAAATAGAAAATAGCCCTTAGTTTTCTTCAAAAATTACAAACTTATGCCACTAAAATTAAAACACAGAAGTTTAATTAATGCTTAACTATTACTCCCTCCGTTCGGTTTTATTTGACGTTTTACTGATTTTTCTTTGTGTCAATATATTTGACGTTCACATAATCCTATGCGATGAATGATGAAATATGACTATTTCTACCCTTGTATTTAATGCTCTCTAGTACTCCATGATATAAGGTCAAGTTGATATTAAACACAAACAGAAAGGTTAAAATAGATATTACAATACATTTCTTAATTGATGCGCCAAGCTGTAAAACGTCAATTAAATCCGAACGGAGGGAGTACTAAAATTGTTTTCTCCAGCCCATGAATTTCATTGGGTGATGGCTAGCCCATTATGTGGTAAAAAATTAAAATACAGATTTTATATAAAATATATATATACAATTAAAAATTTTGAAAACAAAGAATAATTTAAATTAATACAATCTATGTAGAAAAAAATTGGATGCATGATATTTTAATTGTCTAAATGGTCTACCACTCATACAATAAGAAAATATATAACACAATACAAAAATATAAAAGTAATTTATGGTATGAATAATAAATTAAAATCTAACAAATGAAACCATTATATGAATCCATTAAGTTTTTCTGTTTTGAAATGTTTATGCAATTGTAAAGAAAATAATAACCCGTGCGGATGCACGGGTCAAAATCTAGTTATTAGTAATGTTCATGTTAGCTTAGTAAAAATAAACAGCAGCATAATTTGTTTTTAATTCAAAATTCAGGTGCATAAAGTCCACTGATAACATACTCAAACTAATCTTGATATTCAACAAATACACTCGCATACGTAACCCAAATGACCAGAGAGAAAGGACCCACCTTAAAAAACCTCAGACATTTGAGGTGTCTGTACAGAGAAACTTGTCCATCTCTCAACAGACACTCGAGGGAAGTTCTTGAAAATGGAGGCACCGAGTCATAAGAACATATCCAAGACCACAAAAGTTTGAATTTCTAAGTTAAGAGATCTAGCCGTCATTAATATACCCACAATGGAAGCAATAGAGGGTATGGACAAGATTCAAGAAGAGTTACACTGACGCAACTGAATTACTAAAAAAAAATAAAACAGCTGGATATTACAATTAGACTGGTGATGGTGATGAATACCATTACTACAATCTTCTTAACTAAAACGTTATGAATAAACTGATAATATCTCGAATCTTCTTCGTAATAAAGGAAACCAGAAATTGGGTGTCTGTACAGAGAAACTTATCCATCCCTCTTAACAGACACTCGCAGCAGGTTCTTTGAAAATGGAGGGCACAAAAACATATCCAAGACCAACAAAAAGTTTGAAATTCTAAATTAAGAGATCTTGCCTTTCATTAATAAACCCACAGCAGAAGCAATAGAGAGTATGGACAAGATTTCAAGAAACGTTACACTGAAGCAACTGAATTACTACAAAAACACAAACAAAACAGATAGAGATTACATTTAGATTGGTGATGAATACCATTCCTACAATCTTCTTCACTAAAACATAATGAATAAAATGATAAATAGAAGAAACCATAAATTGGGTTTCTTCACGGACCCAAGACACTGCTAAATTTTACCTTCAACAACAATGACAAGTGATAAATTAAACATGAGAACGTCTCAAGAACAGTGAGAAACAAAGAATTTAACACATTTGTCACGTTTCCACAGCTTTAGGGACATCATACAAATCGATCGTTACTTCTTCTGACAACCACAATCCAGGAAAAATCGTCTGCCGAAATCAAAAAAAAAAAAATAATGAAGATTTATGGTTTAGGGTTTAGAGTTGATGTTTTAGAGTTTATGGTTGATGTTTTAGGGTTTAGAATTGATATTTCAAGACTTAGAATTGATAGTTTAAGGTTTAGAGTTGAGGTTTTAAGTTTAGTAGTTAATCATAGGTTTTTTAGTTAATGTTAATCAAATGGTTATAAATGTCTTTTGTCCTTCATAAAAGAAACATGAAAATTGGTATCTTGAAAGTGGTATTAGTGAAAATTTCTCAATAATCTTTTACAATAATATTTTCTTTACGATTTTAGAAACCCCAATTAGAAATTAATAATTTACTTTACAAATATTGTTTTTTTTAGGATTTGCAAAAAAAAAACTACAATTAAACACGCTTTATTTATTTTTCTACTTTTACAAAATATGTAAAATTATTATTTTTTAAATTCGTTTTTATTATATTAAATATTTTTTAGGATTCGTGAAAGTTAAATTACAGTTAAACACTTTTAATTTCTTCTTTTTACTTTTAAACAATTATTAAAACTAATATCTTCCAATTTCATTTTTATTATCTTAGGATATATATATATATATATATATATTAATAATCATCATTATTTTAAGAAGAAAATAACATAAATAATACCTGAAATAATTATTCTACAAATATTTTTTGTTTAGGATTTGAAAAAAGAAAAACTACTATTAAACTCTCTTTTATAATTATTCGTTTGAAATTTAGGAATGATGACCGTGTACCATGAAAATATATTTATCCTACGTTAATATATGTTGAGTGTGTGGTTTAGTATTTTAAACAACAGTAAAGTGTCTAAAAATTATAGATAGCATTTATCGGAAAATTCAATTTTTTCAAAGGTGTTAACCCACGTATTTCAAGAAAAATTAGAAATTTTTTGATTTTTGTTTTAATGCATATTTGTATCATTAACTGTCATATTATGAAGATAAAAGAGGTTTGAGACGTTATGTGTTCCCATTTCTTTAGAAAATAGAGATTTTATAGGGGTTAGTAAACTAATTAGATCGTAAATGAAGTTTAAATAAACTATTCGTTGGAAAGTTAGATATGATCACCATGTATCATGAAAATATGTTTAGACTACATTAATAAACATTGAGATTGTGGTTTGGTATTTTTAAAACAACACAAAAGTGCATAAAAATTAAAGATTGCATTTATCAGAAAATGAAATGTTTTTAAAAGGGGTTAACCCACATATTTCAAGATTTGATTCCCAAAATGCCCTTTGATAATTCGTGTCCCCTAAGCCCCCATACATCGACAGTTAATGTGGGGACGATCCATTGATTCGTTTGATTTTTTCACCCACGCATTTGATTAAACTTATTCGAAAAATCGCAATAACACCGATATACATATACCCCTATATATTAGTCCAAAAATAGTTGAAGTCGATCGTCCAGGTTAGTGCGGCACGAGGAACGATATAGATAAAAGAAAGGAATTTAAAATAAAATCGAAAAGAAAATAAAAGATTAAAGAGTTTTAAATGCAAGCATATCGTTACTTGATTGAAAGTTGCTACCGACCGACGATGCATAAGACAAAGTTGGAAGATTTATATCGATTAAAAATACATTTCATTTTCTTTTTTGCTAACTT